TAGATTGGTATATTTTGTTGTCAATTGGGTAAAAATGATAATGAGTAAATATTTTTGATAAATTAGTACGTGTTAAATATTTATCTGTTATATGAAATATGTTGTTATTCATCATTATGTACTGGATGTTAATCCTTTCTAACGCTAGAATTTCCATTTTATTGTTTTTGTAAGCAAATTGTATTTGGGACAAAATACACTTTTATTAAATAATTAACTATGACAAATTGTTGTCACATGGTGATAGCACGCGTTAAGGTTGGCCAGAGGGTCTCAGTTTGTTGCCAGTAGATCGACAGTTCCATGTTTATGGACACTCCTGTATTTTTTTTCTCTCCACTGAAACAGAGACGTATATATTACATTGTAATATATACGTCTCTGACTGAAAGCACCGTATTCATCAGAAACTACTGTTACATAATACCCCCAATGTTAATTTTTTTAGAGTTCCAACATACCTATCCGATTCTAAACTCTTGTGTCAAAATACACCCGATTTTCATCTATAAGGACATATGTACTAAGAGGTGTACCAAGTTGTAATTTGTTGTACTTAACTCCTAATATCCTTTAGTGGACACGGACATTCCGGCCATAAATCATTGAAACGGACACATCCCATTGACCCCACAATGGGCCCCTGTTACCGTGAATGCTTGACCACTGTCCGAAACACAACTTGCTTATGTAATAGTTAATAACATCCTCTATAGAGAGGCCAGAATGCAGGCTGGAGTCTGATTAGGACCCGTAACAGGAAATGGGGTCAGCTGGACTCGATATTGACCAGTGGCCGTGCATGCGTGTATATGCACACACATAACTGGTCACCGCGGGAAACTGACCGCCCGAGGAAAAACCAATGACCAAAGTCCATCTGGACTACGATTATATTACATGTGGGGTTATAGTACTCTGAGAATGCTTTGTATCGGTAGGGCCAAACATAGATACATCCTGCTAATAACATTTATGCATGAAAAACTTGTATGCATGCTAGACAGTATACGTGCGTCTGGGATTTCTAGCAATAGTGTTACAGACAGTAGATAGGAACCGATACGGAATCTATATCGGAATATAGATGGAAGAGTTGCCACAAGCAACTGCCAACTGTTACCATTTAGAATCGTTGACTGTTCGTGCACTCTTGGTAAGTCTAAGGGAGAGACTAGGTTTCGGCTTTGGCCAATCACCCTGATTCACGGTACAGAAACATAAGTTACGACAGAGTGAGTTCGGTCTCGGATTCATTTTGGTCCAATCCTGCGGGATTCAAAAAGTAAAACCGACAAAATCAATTTAGATCTAGAATAAAACTCGACGCGGAGAAGCGTTCATCTGGCGGCGAGCGAGAGCCGGAAGGGCCGAGGGTGTGTTTAAGTATTGATTTGTGGAGAAATGGGTATACAACGCCCTTCGTCAACGTGGAGAACATGATACAGGTACGTCGCGTCCAGAGACCGAACAGATTCAAATCTTAGTCCAAACACAGTAAGATACAAAACGTCGAAACATAACAGTAGAAATAGAAAGAGTCAAAACATAACAGTAGAGACAGAAATAGTCGAAACATAACAGTAGAGTCAGAAATAGTCAAAACATAACAGTAGAGATAAAAATAGTCCAAATATAGCAGTATAAACAGAAATAGTCGAAATATAATAGCAGAGACAGAAATAGTCCAAACATAACAGAAGAGATAGATATAGTCAAAACATAACAGTAGAGACAGAAATAGTCGAAACATAACAGTAGAGACAGAAATAGTCCAAACATAGCAGTAGAGATAAAAAGAGTCAAAACATAACAGTAAATATAGAATTATTCGAAACATAACAGTAGAGATAGAAATAGTCAAACATAACAGTAGAGACAGAAACAGTCGAAACATAATAGTAGAGTCAGAAATAGTCAAAACATAACAGTAGAGATAAAAATAGTCCAAATAAAGCAGTATAAACAGAAATAGTCGAAATATGACAGTAGAGACAGAAATAGTCCAAACATAACAGTAGAGACAGATATAGTCAAAATATAACAGTAGAGATAGAACTAGTCGAAAAATAACAGTAGAAACAGAAATAGTCCAAACATAGCAGTAGAGATAAAAAGAGTCAAAACATAACAGTAGAAACAGAAATAGTCCAAACATAGCAGTAGAGATAAAAAGAGTCAAAACATAGCAGTAGAGATAAAAAGAGTCAAAACATAACAGTAAATATAGAACTAGTCGAAACATAACAGTAGAGATAGAAATAGTCAAACATAACAGTAGAGACAGATATAGTCCAAACATAACAGCAGAAACAGGAATAGTCAAAACCTAACAGTAGAGATAGAACTAGTCGAAAAATAACAGTAGAGACAGAAATAGTCAAAACATAACAGTAGAGACAGAAAGAGTCAAAACATAACAGAAGTGACAGGAATAGTCAAAACATAACAGTAGAGATAGAAATAGTCCAAACATATCAGTTGAGATAAAAAGAGTCAAAACATAGCAGTAGAGACAGAAATAGTCCAAACATAGCAGTAGAGACAGAAATAGTCCAAACATAACAGTAGAGACAGATATAGTCAAAATATAACAGTAGAGATAGAACTAGTCGAAAAATAACAGTAGAAACAGAAATAGTCCAAACTCAGCAGTAGAGATAAAAAGAGTCAAAACATAACAGTAGAAACAGAAATAGTCCAAACAAAGCAGTAGAGATAAAAAGAGTCAAAACATAGCAGTAGAGATAAAAAGAGTCAAAACATAACAGTAGAGATAGAACTAGTCGAAACATAACAGTAGAGATAGAAATAGTCAAACATAACAGTAGAGAAAGAAATAGTCAAACATAACAGAAGAGATAGAAATAGTCAAACATAACAGTAGAGACAGAAACTGTCCAAACATAACAGTAGAGATAGAAATAGTCGAAACATAACAGTAGAGGTAAAAAGAGTCAAAACATAGAAGTAGAGACAGAAATAGTCGAAACATAATAGTGGAGTCAGAAATAGTCCAAACATAACAGAAGAGACAAAAATAGTCGAAACATAATAGTAGAGACAGAAATAGTCCGAATATAGCAGTAGACACAGAAATAACCCAAACATAACAGTAGATACAAAAATAGTACAAACATAACAGTAGATACAAAAATAGTCCAAACATAACAGTAGAGACAGAAATAGTCAAAACATAACAGTAGAGATAGAAATAGTTCAAACATAGCAGTAGAGACAGAAATTGTCCAAACATAACAGTAGAGACAGAAATAGTCAAAACATAACAGTAGAGACAGGAATAGTCAAAACATAACAGTAGAGATAGAAATAGTCCAAACATAACAGTAGAGACAGAAATTGTCCAAACATAACAGTAGAGACAAATATAGTCCAAACATAACAGTAGAGACAGAAATAGTCCAAACATAACAGTAGAGACAGAAATAGTCAAAACATAACAGTAGAGATAGAAATAGTCCAAACATAGCAGTAGAGACAGAAATTGTCCAAACATAACAGTAGAGACAGAAATTGTCCAAACATAACAGCAGAGATAGAAAGAGTCCAAACATAGCAGTAGAGATAAAAAGAGTCAAAACATAACAGTAGAGATAGAAAGAGACAAAACATCACAGTAAGGACAGAAATAGTCAAAACATAACAGTAAGGACAGAAATAGTCGAACCATAACAGTAGAGACAGAAATAGTCCAAACATAACAGCAGAGACAGATATAGTCAAAACATAACAGTAGGAACAGAAATAGTCTAAATATAGCAGTAGAAACAGAAATAGTCCAAACATAACAGTGGAGACAGAAATAGTCCAAACATAACACTAGAGACAGAAATAGTCCAAACATAACAGTAGATTAAGAAATAGTCCAAACATAACAGTAGAGACAGAAATAGTCCAAACATAACAGTGGAGACAGAAAGAGTTAAAACATAACAGAAATAGTGCAGACATACTCGAGAGAGGTAAAAACGTGTCAACAAAAATACAAAGTGTTCAAATATGCTTTCCCATCTTTACAGTTTCAAAAAATGTAACATACCGTCCAAAAATAACAGTATACAAGTAGAAAAAGTGCCCAAATCTTACAACACTATAGCTAGATAAAGGTGCCCAAATCTTACAACAGTATAGTTAGATAAATGTGCTCAAATCTCACAACAGTATAGATAGATAAAGGTGTCCAAATCTCACAACAGTATAGCTAGATAAAGGTGCCCAAATCTTACAACAGTATAGCTAGATAAAGGTGCCCAAATCTTACATCAGTATAGCTAGATAAAGGTGTCCAAAGCGTACGAAGGAATGTTACAAACCGTTCAAATGTAAAACACAGGCACAAAACGTCAAACCATCCAAATATAAGATATAAGCACAGAGTGTCCAAACTGTACAATAGAATACATTCGTAGGTAAAAAAATCCAAACATATAATAGTATATATAGGTCTAATGGTCCGAATATGCCACAGTACAGACCTAAGCGTCCAAACATATAGCAGTACAGATCAAAGCGTTCAAACATATAACAGTACAGACCAAAGAGTCCAAACATATAACAGTACAGACCAAAGCGTCCAAACAGATAACAGTACAGATCAAACCATCCAAACACATAACAATACATATCAGACCATTCAAATTTACAATAGAACAGGTCAAACCGTCCAAACACACAACAGTAATGAGCAAACCGTCCAAACATACAACAGCTCAGATTAAACCGTCTAAACACACAACAGTACAGATCGAACCGTCCAAACACACATCAGTAAAGATCAAACCGTCCAAACACACAACAGTACATATCAGACCATTCAAATGTACAATAGTATATATCAAACCGTCCAAACATATACCAGTATAGGTCAAACCGTCCAAACACAAAACAGTAATGAGCAAACCGTCCAAACACACAACAGTAATGTCCAACCATCCAAACTTATAACAGTATAGGTCAAACCGTCCAAACACACAACAGTAATGAGCAAACCGTCCAAACACACAACAGTAATGAGCAAACCGTCCAAACATACAACAGTGAAGATCAAACCGTCCAAACATACCACAAAACATATCAAACTGTCCAAACACACAACAGTAATGAGCAAACCGTCCAAACACACAACAGTAATGAGCAAACCGTCCAAACATACAACAGTGAAGATCAAACCGTCCAAACATACCACAAAACATATTAAACTGTCCAAACACACAACAGTAATGAGCAAACCGTCCAAACACACAACAGTAATGAGCAAACCGTCCAAACATACAACAGTGAAGATCAAACCGTCCAAACATACCACAAAACATATTAAACTGTCCAAACACACAACAGTAATGAGCAAACCGTCCAAACACACAACAGTAATGAGCAAACCGTCCAAACATACAACAGTGAAGATCAAACCGTCCAAACATACCACAAAACATATTAAACTGTCCAAACACACAACAGTAATGAGCAAACCGTCCAAACACACAACAGTAATGAGCAAACCGTCCAAACATACAACAGTGAAGATCAAACCGTCCAAACATACCACAAAACATATTAAACTGTCCAAACACACAACAGTAATGAGCAAACCGTCCAAACACACAACAGTAATGAGCAAACCATCCAAACATACCACAAAACATATCAAACCGACCAAACACACAACAGTACAGATCAGACCATTCAAATGTACAATAGTATAGATCAACCCGTCATCACACAGCAGTAATGTAAAACCATCCAAATTTATAACAGAATAGATCAAACCGTCCAAACACACAACTGTATAGAACTAACTGTCCAAACATACCACAATACATATCAAACTGTCCAAACACACAACAGTTAAAATCAAACCGTCAAAACACACAGCAGTACAGATCAAACCATCCAAATGTACAATAGTATAGATCAAACCGTCAAAACACACAGCAGTAATGTCAAAGCGTCCAAACTTATAACAGTATAGAAAAAACAGTTCAAACATACCATAGTACCGATCGAACCGTCCAAACAATAACACAGTACAGATCGAACCGTCCAAACATACTATAGTACAGATCGAACCATCGAAACATACCACAGTACAGATAGAACAGTTCAAACATACAATAGTAAAGATCGAACCGTCCAAACATACAACAGTACAGATCGAACCGTCCAAACATAACACAGTACAGATCGAACCGTCCAAACATACTATAGTACAGATCGAACCATCGAAACATACCATAGTACAGATCGAACAGTTCAAACATACAATAGTACAGATCGAACCGTCCAAACATACAACAGTACAGATCGAACCGTCCAAACATACAATAGTACAGATCGAACCGTCCAAACATACAACAGTACAGATCAAACCGTCCAAACATACAATAGTACAGATAGAACCGTCCAAACAAAACACAGTACAGATCAAACCATCCAAACATACCACGGTCCAGATAGAACCGTCCAAACATAACACAGTACAGATCGAACCGTCCAAACATCCTATAGTACAGATCGAACCATCGAAACATACCATAGTACAGATAGAACAGTTCAAACATACAATAGTAAAGATCGAACCGTCCAAACATACAACAGTACAGATCAAACCGTCCAAACATACAATAGTACAGATCGAACCGTCCAAACAAAACACAGTACAGATCAAACCATCCAAACATACCACAGTCCAGATCGAACCGTCCAAACATAACACAGTACAGATCGAACCGTCCAAACATACCATAGTACAGATCGAACAGTTCAAACATGACACAGTACAGATCGAACCGTCCAAACATTACACAGTACAGATCGAACCGTCCAAACATAACACAGTACAGATAGAACCGTCCAAACATACCATAGTACAGATCGAACCGTCCAAACATACAACAGTACAGATCAAACCGTCCAAACATACAACAGTACAGATCGAACCATCCAACATACCACAGTACAGATCGAACCATCCAAACATACAACAGTACAGATCGAACCGTCCAAACATAACACAGTACAGATCGAACCATCAAAACATAACACAGTACAGATCGAACCGTCCAAACATATCATAGTACAGATCGAACAGTTCAAACATACAACAGTACAGATCGAACCATCCAAACATACCACAGTACAGATCGAACCGTCCAAATATAACACAGTACAGATCGAACCATCAAAACATAACACAGTCCAGATCGAACCGTCCAAACATATCAAAGTACAGATTGAACCGTCCAGACACACCATAGTCCAGATCGAACCATCAAAACATACAACAGTACAGATCGAACAGTTCAAACATACAACAGTACAGACCGAACCATCCAAACATACCGCAGTACAGATAGAACCGTCCAAACATAACACAGTACAGATCGAACCGTCCAAACATATCAAAGTACAGATTGAACCGTCCAAACACACCATAGTCCAGATCGAACCATCCAAACATACAACAGTACAGAACGAACCGTCCAAACATAACACAGTACAGATCGAACCCTCCAAACATAACACAGTACAGATCGAACCGTCCAAACATACAACAGTACAGATCGAACAGTTCAAACATACAACAGTACAGATCGAACCATCCAAACATACTGCAGTACAGATCGATCCGTCCAAACATACAACAGTACAGATCGAACCATCCACACATACAACAGTACAGATAGAACCGTCCAAACATATCATAGTAAAGATCGAACCGTCCAAACATACCATAGTCCAGATCGAACCGTCCAAACATACAACAGTACAGATCGAACCGTCCAAACATACCATAGTACAGATCGAACCGTCCAAACATACAACAGTCTAGGTCAGAGTGCCAAATCTACAACTGTATAGCCTACTGACACACCAGAGAGATACAGAAAATTGCTTTTTATCATTTGTTTCTAAATGAACAAAATACAGATGTATATGTTCAGAATCCGATAAAGACGTCACTGGTACAGACACAATGTCTGTAAAACTGTGATAAAATATTGACAAAGATTTACTCGATTTTTAACTCGTGCATTACATTTATCTATCTCGGATCGGCGTCATTTCTCACGTGATCTGGTGGTCAACATGAAATTGCAAATGCATAATTGAATTCCCTCTCAATAAGTCGCAAAGGCTATTTAGAATCGTACATTACCAAAAGAAATCATATAACAGCATAAAGCTATCTCATAAACAATCAATTTTTATACACAATTATGTTATACACATGTATACATTAAATAATCGTCAAAATCGTGAGACGTTTCACTTTCGTGTGCAGCCTGTGAAAGGAGTATCAATCCTCTGGCGCATGCGTCAAGATGACAGATAATTGACATTCAGTATGGTATCCTTATTTTATCATGTATTCAATTCTTTACCTTAAACTTAAAATGGCATGACTTTGGGGGTATGAATATTCTGTGCGAACATATCTATATTTAATCTGAGTTTCCTGACATAATTTTTTTATTCATTGTGTATGGTTTAGTGAATTATTGAGTAAATTAATGAAAATATAATTATGCATGTCTTAGTAATATCCGTATGAAATGAATTAATTCCTTAAGTGTTCTATGAAAGGTACAAGGAAGTATTAAAGAAGTTCAATATATGTCTTTTAACACGACTCTAATTAGAGGGGCTCCCTTAGTGCAAACGAGAGAGAAAATGTATCAATATCAATTACCTATATATACTATAACAATATAGAAGTATTCTCCAAAATCATATTTTATATAAATAAACTGATAGAGGTGGCGTCGTTGTGTGGTTGTTGTATTTTGTTGGGGTATGTTTAATATTTTAAACGTAGACAATATCGTTTTCGGGACACAAGTCTATAAGGCGGTTTTTTTCAGTAGAGACATTATCAGTGACGTCATAATCAGTGGAATCAATAATATCATTTCATCATTAAATATAAGTTTCCATTTCATATGAGATTTATGAAACGAGTCTAAGAATTTTTCAATTTAGTGAGCCTCTGGCGAGCTAAAATGAAAAATTGGTGAAGAGTTTCATAAATTTCATATGAAATGAAACCGAGTGTTAGATCCTTTTTATCACATAATCACGATTTTTGGCATTTATTCGTGGAAAACGGCAATTTTCATGCAATTTTTAAATGTGAAAAGCCGTCATATTGACTCCAATGCGTAAGTCTGTGATGTCATGTACTTGTCCTAGGCGTGACGTCACAATTGAAACAATTGAGTCATATTACATGGGTTAATACGCCAAAAAATATGACATGGGTATATTCACTGGATAACACAGTACATTATGTGATAAACTAGAAATGTTTTAAGTTTTTAATTTCACACGGAAGTATTCTAAATATTTCTCACAAGAGGGTGCAATACTTCGGATTTCGAATTATGATGGACAAAGCTTCGTTCAAACAGTGATCAAGTCTGGTTTAATAAATAAATTTTCACATGAACACTGGAAAACAACAACAAATGAACAGTGGCCATTACTATCAAAAACAATAAGCAAGGAGCACGCCACCATATGAATAGTGCAATACATCAACATATGAACAGTGCAATATATCAACACATGGACAGTGGAATACATCAACATGTCAAAACATGAACAGTGGAATACACCAACACATGAACAGTGGAATACACCAACACATGAACAGTGGAATACATCAACACGTGAACAGTGGATTACATCAACATATGAACAGTGGAATACACCAACATATGAACAGTGGAATACATCAACACATGAACAGTGGAATACATCAACATGTCAAAACATGAACAGTGGAATACATCAACATATGAACAGTGGAATACGCCAACACATGAACAGTGGAATATACCAACACATGAACAATGGAATACATCAACATATGAACAGTGGAATACATCAACACATGAACAGTGGAATACATCAACACATGAACAGTGGAATACATCAACATATCAAAACATGAACAGTGGAATACATCAACATAGGAACAGTGGAATTCATCAACACATGAACAATGGAATACATCAACATATGAACAGTGGAATACACCAACACATGAACAGTGGAATACATCAACATATGAACAGTGGAATACATTAACATAACACACATGAACAGTGAAATACACCAACATTTGAACAGTGGAATACACCAACACATGAACAGTGGAATACATCAACATATGAACAGTGGAATACGCCAACACATGAACAGTGGAATACATCAACATATTAACAGTGGAATACATCAACATATGAACAGTGGAATTCATCAACACATGAACAATGGAATACGTCAACATATGGACAGTGGAATACACCAACACATGAACAGTGGAATACATCAACATATTAACAGTGGAATACATCAACATATGAACAGTGGAATTCATCAACACATGAACAATGGAATACATCAACATTTGAACTGTGGAATACATCAACACATGAACAGTGGAATACATTAACATAAAACACATGAACAGTGGAATACACCAACACATGAACAGTGGAATACATCAACATATGAACAGTTGAATACGCCAACACATGAACAGTGGAATATACCAACACATGAACAATGGAATACATCAACATATGAACAGTGGAATACATCAACACATGAACAGTGGAATACATCAACACATGAACAGTGGAATACATCAACACATGAACAGTGGAATACATCAACATATGAACAGTGGAATACATCAACACATGAACAGTGGAATACATCAACATATGAACAGTGGAATACATCAACACATGAACAGTGGAATACATCAACATATGAACAGTGGAATACATCAACACATGAACAGTGGAATACATCAACATATGAACAGTGGAATACATCAACACATGAACAGTGGAATACATCAACATATGAACAGTGGAATACATCAACACATGAACAGTGGAATACATCAACATATGAACAGTGGAATACATCAACACATGAACAGTGGAATACATCAACATATGAACAGTGGAATACATCAACACATGAACAGTGGAATACATCAACATATGAACAGTGGAATACATCAACACATGAACAGTGGAATACATCAACATATGAACAGTGGAATTCATCAACACATGAACAATGGAATACATCAACATTTGAACAGTGGAATACACCAACACATGAACAGTGGAATTCATCAACACATGAACAGTGGAATACACCAACACATGAACAGTGGAATACATCAACATATGAACAGTGGAATTCATCAACACATGAACAATGGAATACATCAACATATGGACAGTGGAATACATTAACACATGAACAGTGGAATTCATCAACACATGAACAGTGGAATACACCAACAAATGAACAGTGGAATACGTCAACACATGAACAGTGGAATTCATCAACACGTGAACAATGGAATACATCAACATTTGAACAGTGGAATACATCAACACATGAACAGTGGAATTCATCAACACATGAACAATGGAATACATCAACATATGAACAGTGGAATTCATCGACACATGAACAATGGAATACATCAACATTTGAACAGTGGAATACGCCAACACATGGACAGTGCAATACATAAACACATGAACAATGGAATACATCAACATATGGACAGGGGAATACATTAACACATGAACAGTGGAATTCATCAACATATGAACAGTGGAATACGCCAACACATGGACAGTGCAATACATAAACACATGAACAATGGAATACATCAACATTTGAACAGTGGAATACGCCAACACATGGACAGTGCAATACATAAACACATGAACAATGGAATACATCAACATTTGAACAGTGGAATACGCCAACACATGGACAGTGCAATACATCAACACATGAACAATGGAATACATCAACATATGAACAGTGGAATACACCAACACATGAACAGTGGAATTCATCAACACATGAACAGTGGAATACATTAACACATGAACAGTGGAATTCATCAACATATGAACAGTGGAATACGCCAACACAGGAACAGTGGAATACATCAATATATGAACAGTGGAATACGTCAACACATGAACAGTGGAATTCATCAACACATTAACAGTGGAATACATCACCACATGAACAGTGGAATACAACAACACATGAACAGTGGAATTCATCAACACATGAACAGTGGAATACATTACCATATCAACAAATGAACAGTGAATAAACAAACATATGAACAGTGGAATACGTCAACACATGAACAGTGGAATACATCAACACATGAACAGTGGAATACATCAACATATCAAAACATGAACAGTGGAATACATCAACATATGAACAGTGGAATACATTAACATAACACACATGAACAGTGAAATACACCAACATTTGAACAGTGGAATACGCCAACACATGAACAGTGGAATACGACAACACATGAACTGTGGAATACATCAACATATGAACAGTGGAATACGACAACACATGAACAGTGGAATACATCAACACATGAACAGTGGATTACAACAACACATGAACAGTGGAATACAACAACACATGAACAGTGGAATACATCAACATATGGACAGTGGAGTACATCAACATATCAAAACATGAACAGTGAAATACTTCAACTTAAGAACAGTGGAATACATCAACACATGAACAGTGGAATATGCCAACAACCGAAAAGTTGAATACGCCAAAATAAGAAAGGTGGAATACATTAAATTATGAACAGTGGGAAACATCAGACCCTTAACAATGGAATACATAGCAATCTGTTTGCTTGAATACAAACATTAACAGTTGACAACAAAGTATTAAATCACAATGAGTGAAACTTATCAGGCAATTTGCTTTCCAGAAACTATCAGCTAGAAACAAAATTTTACAAGAGAAAAATCAGTAAAATGTGTTTTTAGTGGAAAATATGGGTTTACAAAAGTTTCAGTGTACCCAATGTTTAATATTTTGCAACATAAGCTGAAGTTTTAACACTTTACAACCATAATCATTTACAGTCTGTTTGTCAGGTTTACAAATCAAAACCATGCTGCATTACCTGAACAATTAACACCCTTACATATATAGGCCAGAGAGGTTCAATAATAGTAGATGTCACTCCAGTTAAAACCCACATCTCTCTATCCAACGCCAAGCTTAGTGTTGAATTTAACAGAGGGGTTCAGGACACAGTTACTTTGCTAATGTTACTACTATTAGATAAATATAAAATTCCTGGTAGAATCAAAAATTGATTTTAATTGATAAATTGATTGATTATTATGATCAACCATCTATTGTCTTAAATGATCATCAGTTAAAAAAACACCACTCCATCAGTTCCTTACAGGCCAAGGCCAATTTTGTACTTTTGAATAATTGCAGGGGTAATGCATATACATATGTAAATAAAAATTGAAAACCTAATGCCTTTCTCTCAATACATGTTGTGTCAAAAAGTATCCTTTGGAGTAGAAAAAAATATTTCAAACATTGACATAATAAAGAGTTGTTCTCAAATCTTAACCAGCTTTAATCACAGTTCAATGCTATCATCTTATTATAATTGATAAATAACTTATTTTCTATCTATTGTGTACTACCACACATGGTGAGGAAAACACTTACCTTCTGTACAATCTGATGTTGTCCTGTTGATTCGAAACAATCAGCCCGGTACAGCAACAAGCAACCATGGTTACCATGTGTGGGAGGACAGTTGATGTTCTTGATGACTATTCTTTATGTCCTTTGAGATTGAGATATGATACAGAAATGCTCTTGAAAAATAAATATTCTTCCTATCTTTGATTACAATGAAGGAATAACTTCTGGTATAAGCTACGAGGTAATTGTTTCCATACAGCATCATCCTAGTAGAATGGAGGGATAGTGTGTACTCTATCACTTTTAACCTGCCTACAGATAACTTAGAACTGACTGTGCCATAAATACAAAGCAATGTTTAAAAATATTTGAATATTGCAACAATTCATTATTTGTCTTTGATTTTGCCTATTACAAGCATTGTTCAGTTATAAGTTAATGGATCTCACCAACAACTGGCAAATGAAATCATAAGGTATGAACTTTCATTTTGTTATGTTGTAACTCACCAAAGTTTAATTGCCTTATCATTTGAATGACCTTGTGACTTTGACCTTCAATTTGACCTTATAAACTTGAAACTTTTTTTTTTCAAGATTATGACTTCAAAATTTGTTAAGGAGCACTTGGCATGGATGAACACAAAATAGAAATGTATTTACCCATTTATAAACAGAGCACCTATTGTTCTAGATTTCATTCGTCATTCCAGTAATATATGTGTGACCTTGACATTGACCTAAAACATTGGCAAAAGACCCATATTTTATAATAGGCAATTTTCATATTTCTAATGTACTGATGACCTGACATCTTACCTTGTATTTTTCAAAATTTCCAAATGTAGATCAATGCATCATTGCCATTTTTATTTATAGAAATTGATCCATTTTGAATTACTTGCCATAACATTTCAAATAATGATAATAATTTGACGTTCTTATATACCATTTCGGCGCTCACTGCTAGCATTCAACAATTCTAGCACTGCCCAACCACGTGCTCTTTTACAGCTGAGTAGACTGGAACAAGCGGAGTAAAGTATCTTGCTCAAAGATACAACACAGTGCTGTGCAGAGACTCGAACATGCAACCCTTCGGTCACGAGCTCGGCGTTCTACCATTCACATACCAGACATGTATTGGAAAATGACCCACGAGTGGCAGTGTTTATAGATGGATTCAGGTGATCTAAAAAGTCAAACATATTTTATCATGAAGTTTGATAGGTGTAAAAGATAATACATGTCTTAAACATTGTGTATGTGTTCCAAAGATTGTACTAAGATATATTTTATGTCTTGTATTGTATTATGAAACTTGGTAGGTCTCAAGCATTGCATTATATATGAAACATTTCATACACAACACATTGTAAGGGTCAAACATTGATTGTATCATGAAAATTGCATCTTTCAAACATTGAACATGAGTAATGAAGCCCTTTGTCTCAAAACAGTGTATAAATAAATGACACAATGTGGTATGAAGCAGATATGTCTCAAACATAACAAAACTTTGTTGGTCTCAAACATTGTATATTTGACACAACGTAGGTCTCAAACATAATAAAACTTTGTTGGTCTCAAACATTGTATATTTGACACAATGTAGGTCTCAAACATCGTATAGTTGACACAATGTTGGTCTCAAACATTGTATTGTGACACAATGTTGGTCTCAAACATTGTATATTTTATAATTGACACAATGTTGGTCTCAAACATTGTATATTTGCACTTGACACGATGTTGGTCTCAAACATTGTATATTTTATAATTGACACTATGTAGGTCTCAAACATTGTATATTTGCACTTGACACAATGTTGGTCTCAAACATTGTATATTATAATTGACACAATGTTGGTCTCAAACATTGTATACTTTATAATTGACACAATGTTGGTCTCAAACATTGTATATTTGCATTTGACACAATGTTGGTATCAAACATTGTATATTTGACACAATGTAGGTCTCAAACATTATATTGTGACACAATGTTGGTCTCAAACATTGTATATTTGACACTATGTTGGTCTCAAACATTGTATATTTGACACAATGTAGGTCTCAAACATTATATTGTGACACAATGTTGGTCTCAAACATTGTATATTTGACACAATGTAGGTCTCAAACATTGTATAGTTGACACAATGTAAGTCTCAAACATTGTATATTTGACACTATGTTGGTCTCAAACATTGAATTAATGATACAGTGTATGCATGTCATTCAAGATGGAAAATAAACTGGGTATTTTTCTTCAAAAAGAAAACAAAGAGAAACAGTTTCAGGAAAGAGGATTTATTATTCAAACATTTTTATGTGACAATTGCACAGTGACAGATAAAGACAGACAAAACAGTGTTTTAAACAGTCAGTTTAGGTTATTAATAAGGACAAAATAGTAGGATCTGGAGAACACATGATAGAACATTGATAATGTCCTGTATCCTAAACACAATAGCATTGCTTGGTTTATGGTTTGCAACCTTACAAGTGATTTCACCTATGCTAGTCTCTTGTAGAGAAGGGGGCATCACAACAACATCAAAACCAGCACCATACTATGGGTATTAGCCCATCAAACCAGAAAACAGGAACAACTTTCTAACTTGAAAATATTACATGTTTTCATTTCCTTTCAACAAAATAAATTGTTGACAAAGTAAAACAATTGTTCAGAAATATGACCTTTTGTTTGTGTTCCTCAATATCTATATACAGTTGAACTTAACTGGATTGTTTTCTTCAAAAGATTGTTTATTTTTCTTACAAAACGTATTATAATCCTTGGTGATTATGGCATGTACATGTCTTTGCTTTGCAAATTTCCAATGAGCACTCCCTAAAGTGTATTTTTATGATAGCACATCAATTATACAAAAAGCACATATCAATTTTTTAAAGTGATTTTTTCCACTTTTTTTTTAACCTGCTGTACCTACTGTAGATACTTTGATATAAAACGATTTTAATCAAAATAATTTAACAAAAGTTTCAGCTACTATACTTATGCAAGGTCATTTTAAATTTTCAGATAGTAAATATATGAGCAATTCAAAATTTGTTTTTATAGTCTTATGCCCATTGCATACACCCCACACATAAAACACGAAGGATGGCGTGTACTTCTCCTTGATATCAGTGTAACAGGAATTTTTGTCCTTCCAATCTTAAGATTTTGGTTCCGTTTTGACAAATAATCTGAATGTTTAAATATACATGTAAGAGATGGAAAAATGATGAAACAAATACTAGTAACACTATTTGTAAGCTACTGACAAACAAATTACACATGAACTTTTTTAACAACAAGCAAGTTCTCACTGGGTTTATTATTTTAGCTAAGCTTTTAGTACAAATACATGTACGATAAATGCTTTTCAAGCAAAAAGAAGAACATTGGTGGTTTAATCGCAAAAAAAAGAGCTGTTTCTTTCTCCAAAATAATTTTCAAATGGCAGTACACACCGCTCTGAGCGGGGTCATACACACTTCTGCACAAAACATGCATGCAAAGCGGTCTTTGACCAAACAAGAAACAGTACACTATAGAATAAAAAGAAAAAATATGTATATAAAAAATCAATGCAAACACTATGGCATATGACTGCAAAATGCAACCCTTTGAAGCATTTCACAAGCAATGGACATCAACTGAAATATACAAACATCATTTTTTGGCGATACCTTCAACTACACACGCCGCTGCCTGAGATATAGTTTGTTGAAATGCGCAATATGAAGTTGTTTTTTAACAAGAATCTAGGTAACATTTAACAATGCTTATATAATACACACACCAGTTCCAATATCTAACCAAACACACATCTATGCTAGGAGGTAATAGGGTTTCAGTCCATAGTCACTGAACGGTTCATTATAACAGGTGCTTGAAGCAGCTAGATTTATACATTCTTAAAATTGACAGGGATAACATCAATGAACTGACTAATAAGTTTTAACATTTATAAGAGTTTTTACCCGTTTTAATGACAAAAACAAGAGGCTTCTAACATAATGACGGAAATCATATACTTGTCAAGTTATGAAAATTTCCTTTTGCCTACATAAGTCAGAAGTAATAAATTCACCCAAGTTACACTATCCTCTTCTCAAACAGATGTCCTGAAACAGGTTGGTAAAAATTTAAATTCTTTTATGCCAACACACACAAATACATTTATTTAATTTAATGACTCTGGATCAACAGAATACAGACATACAAACCACAACATTGTGGAATTTTCCCCTTTTCTCAATAACAGTAATAGCTAAAATATTGAATTCAAAATAATCGGAAAACTCTATTTTTATATCTGAAATGTTTCTGAGTTAATTGCTTGGTAATGAAAATGGGGTAAGAATTCATCTTAAGGTATGATCTTTATATTTACATAAGCTATATTCTTTCTAACAGCCATGCCTATCATAGTCAGGTATACTCTGCATTTCAATATAATAACCATCGCTCCTAAACATCCATTTCAAACACAAACATATACAATCTTACAAATAAATTGGGTAAGCTACTTCAATCTATACAAGTCTATGACATAGAATTAACTGTAAACTTGAAACTCGGGAACAGTATTTGCTACCCAGTATACAGTATCTATGTGTGTGTGACAGAGAAAACACAACAGAGTAAGCATGCATAAGAGACAGGCACAGCAACGAAGGTCTAATGTATTAGTCTTGTTTTTGAACAGACAAGAGCAATTTCACACTTTATCTATTCCATTTTACTGCTTTTGAACAGACAATTGAACAGATTTTGAACAGACAGAGTAAAATTTCAGTCTGTCCTCTCCATTTTAACTGTTATCTCAATACCAAATAAGGGCAAGTGGTTTCCTTATCATTATCCAATCAGAGACTAGATCTCCTGCAGCCATATCCTTATGCATGTTTTTGGCTGGTAAATTTACATGTATACTGTGAGTAAGCATTATAGATTTTTTTTTCAATTCAAACGTCTCCCCTCTGCTTCCATGATAGACTAATAATTCTTGTGAAATTGGCAAGTCTATTACATGTCTAGGGGGTAGCAGGATGCTGTCTACCTTTAGACTGCTGGGGACAACGCCAAATTTTAATATATCTTGGGAAATGTCTAGAGCAGTGCTAACGTACCCAAACGCTGCCTTTAGCAACAATCCAGCCAAGAGATATTTTCAATTCTTAGTTGTTTGTATTTTCTTTACCATATCAATTTAAGTATGTAGGATTTGTTAATTAATTCTAATAATAATTACTTTCATACATTTAATTTTTCATTTCAAATTAGAAGCATGCATGCAATATAATTAGCTTTTAAACAATCATCATCAGGGTGAAACATTCAGAAAATATGACCATGATATCAATGAAAAATATGAAGTTTTCAAAGTAAAACCTGTGGTTATGTCTGAAACTTGAACATCTTAATACAAACAAAAAACTTGGATAGTATTAACTAGACATCTAGTATAGGAACAAATTCTAATTAACACTATAAAATTAAACATGATCTAACAAGTCTACATTGCTATACTACTCTGAATGGGTTAAAAAAATCAGAAAAAATACATATTTTTTGTACATACAAATAAAATAGGATAAACAACGGTTTGCTCTACAATCCACACAAATACACATGTAATAAATGATGACATAGGATCACAGCTGTAACGTACATATCACCTTTATCAAAACTGCCAACATTACCGGTAAAACATTAATAGGAAGTTGTGACATAATATTGTGACAAGTAAAATATAAGCACTGAATCTTCAGTAGTTCTAAGAAAAGAAGCTATTTTTTAAACAAAATATGTCAAGTCACTGTGCTCTCTTCCCATCCCCAAGTGAATTAAAACAAGTCTCTCCCTCTTTTTAAAATTTGGAAATTGGTATAACTTGCATGTTTAAAACTGTTTTCTTCTGTTTTTGGAGCAGACATTGACTACTAAAAAGTAAACTAGTGTTATCTGTTTAAAAAGAATTAAAACATTATACAATACAATAAATAACTATAATGATTTTTTTTATTTCTTTAAATATTGAAATGAAATGATTGAATTTACTTTTAGATTTTTGCTAATTTGCCAGCCTTCCTAACGTTAAAATTGTTGGCTGCCAATAACACTGTTGTTATCGGTCTCCCTTGTCACTTTAATGGACCCTCGAGTCAATCCGTCTCACCGCTCCACCACAATTCTATTGGTCTAATCGCCCTTCCAACAGTTTTTGGTCTCTTAACACTAATGTTTTAAGTTACGACAAAAAAAGTGTGCAGTAATTAAATGATAAAATTTGACATTAAGTTAACGCAGGTTGCGACGTGCATGCTGCAAGCATGTCAGCTACAAGCAGCAAGGGGAAAGAAATGCAATTTTCATTTTAAATGAGCGGGTAATTTTTATGGTTTTACAATATTATGACAGCAAACAAGCCTGCTAATAAGTGACCTCCGTGATCATCAATTTTCACACCACTTAGCAGTGAAATTGTGATTTCTTTTTTTCAAGCATGATTTTTTTTAAAATATGGTAAAATGCATGTCCATTAGTAATGCATACACTGATGTTCTTTTTGAACACCACAGACTAGAAAGAGCACAAAACGTTCACGACTTTATACTGGCATCTGGTGAAGCCATGAAATAGAAACATGAATATATTTTCTCTACATGTAAACCCGCATATATACAAAACATAATCACTTAATTTACAAACCATTTTGTCTCTACACATCAACATAATTAAAAACATTTTCATCAATGCAGATTATCTTTAAGCTTAAGCTGTACCTTACCTCCTCAGCAATTTTCATATCCATATATATATATATATATATTACTGACGCTTTCTACTGATTAAATAGAAATGTTTACAGAATGTACCTGGTATATATATATATAAGTACCAGTTAAAATCAAACAATTGGCAGTTAAAATAAGGTTCAATAATATATTCCCATGTCGTGCCTGAGGTAAGTATATATATATATGGAGATCAATCTATTTCTGCATGGATTCTATAGCAAGGAATAAAACTTGAATTTGGAAATATGTCCAAGACAACTGTTTGAGCAAAAACAATTAATAACTTTTAAGTTACCAGAAGCAATTAGGCCAAAAAACTTGAACCATACAATTCTAAAGGAAGTACAGTTACTTAAGCAGGGTTTTTTCCCTCTGTGACATTTAAAACATTTTTCTACAGGAAGTTATTTTTTTATGATTGCAAGATTATATAAACTTTGTCCATTATCCAATATCATTGCTTCTCACTAAAATTTATTTAAATGAAATTTTAAAAGAATCTTGTATCATTTAAAGGTTACAATTTACTCATTGTTTATTATTTGATTACAGGGTGTTTTTTTTTGTTTTTTTTAAAACTATTTTATTGTAAAGTCAACAGAGATAGATATATTTAATACCCAATTATTGAATAAATTTGGATTTTAAGTATATAACCTGAATCAATTTACTGTAACATACAATATAATTCAGATTTAAATAGCCTACATCTTGAGGTAAGAGTGACGAAATTGTATCTATTCATGTAAACATGATAATATTTTAAGCAAGATTGGAAGTTAAAACAGTGAACGTGGTAAGCTTGGCTTGTGATTAAACAACAAACACACCATAAATCAAGTACCAGTATAACACATGATAGATAGATATTTATAATATTTATGGTACGGTACCTTACCCTTGTATTACAGCACGCTAGTACCGTAATTACCAAAGTATCAACACCTGATATATCAGTAATTGTGAATATTTATCATGGTACATAGTACCATTAGGATCATACTAGATATCTAGTTGTACATACATATATATATTGACCTACACACTATATAGTAATGCTACATGCTCCAAAAATAAGGAAACAAAAGAATCTGAGGTAGATTGTGGTTTTCACAGTTACTTGCAAGCCCTTCCAACATAACGACCAGCTATGTACAAAACTTTCATATTTACATCAACATATGAACATGCCACAAATGTGCTATATTAAAAATGCACAAGTGTTCTTCTCCATCATATCTGCACACTTGGAACTTCTTTCCCGATTGGAAGCTTTCCAGTGCAGTATTATCCATGTATATATGCAGTTCCTACCCAAATACAAGTATATGCAATTCCTACTGAAACACGATGGAAAAATAAATATTCTCAAATGACTCCCGTTAGTTGGAAAGGGTGATATTTTTTTTTACTTTGAACATAAATATATCTATTTTCATTTCCTCTGTAGGAAGCATATTGTGTGTGTATTTAACTGTCTATGTAACATATTGATATGTTAAGATATTGTGTATGTGGGTAACATATTGATATAATGTATTACATACTGTGCAAGTATGTAACATATTTACATGTGTAACATACTATGTAACATTTTGTGTACATTTGTATGTATGAAACATTGTGTATGTAACAGATTGTGTCTTACTGTGTGTAACATTGTATATATATGTAAACATGTGTAACATGTGTAACATGGCCTAGTGTGTAAGTAACATTGTGTGCATGTGTTACATGGGGTGCAGGTGTGCAACATCCTTTGTATGGGTTTAACATACCAGGTATGTGTTGAAAAAACAACACTATGTACATGTGTAACATGATTTGCATGTGTGTGTAAAATACTTTGTATGTGTGTACTGACTAACCTATGAGAGAATGCCCCAATATATATATTATAAACTTTGGTATGCTTTGTAACAAACTGTATAATGTACCACAAAACACAGGGATGCCAGCTATCCCTATTAGGAAGACAAGAACAGTAGATATCACAAGATCTTTACAGCAATAACATTTCCTTCATTAATTTATCTTTAAATCAGACAATAAATATACAAATTGTCTACTTTCCAATTAGCTTAAAATCCAACCATTCTCTACAATATATGTTCTTCATTTCCACAGGTAAAATAAAAAAAACACGAAATTCAACTTTCACGCAATGTTGTTTCTTGCTGTGAGCATTTTAAAAATTGTACACAAACCTTTTTGCTTCTCCACAAACTACGATTTTGGACATCTTAAATTGAAAAATTCTGCAAGGGTAACCACTTTAAAAGGTGTAATGCTGATTTTTCTTTTCAAACATCACTTCCAAAAACTATATCGTTAGTTGTCCAAATAATACCAAAGAACCATTTTGCAATCTCAAAGTTAATCAAATTTCCACATGAAAATAAAGAAATTGATTACATCAAGAAATGTCTCTCTTATTCTTGTATCTAAGCAAAAAGAAATTTACCAATGTTTCCTCAGATGAAAAATCAATGAGAGGAACACCTCAGCTAGGTTATATACAAGTACATGTACAAGTCAACATCTCTTCGTGAGTAATCTATAGCACAACAGTAGCTATACACGCATCTCCAGGGTTAGACAATATGTCAGCTTGTGAGGTAGGGGCTCATTACACCCCGCCCTCCATACTGCCTATACTGCTATTTAGTTTGGAACCCCCAGAAAGACATAAACCTCAATTCAACAGCCATTCGAGGATGAAACAAAATCCACAAAAATCAATAACATTAGTTACATATATGAATATACTACGTCACCCCTACACTGTAACCAGGCTATCTGATTCTCACCGGTGCATTTATTTGATTTTAATCACAATCAGAAAGCTGTGAAAAATACAAGTTACGGTATGGAAATAATATGGAGACGATGGGATGTGTGCTATAGTTTACTTACATCCTACAAAGACTGCTTCACACTACTGAGGAACTATGTGTAGCCATTATCAATGACAAAATAATGTGCATATTATATGAAGGAATCGACCTCGACAGACCATTCACAGTCACTGCTATATGTAGATTAGATCTACCGGCTTTCAATGCAATGGTGCACAATTATCATTGATAATTTTTAATTAATACATCATTATCTCACTATAAACAAACAAAACTACATTTATTTTTCAATTTCTTCATGTTTGGAAATCCCACCTACCCTAAATGAAATACATTTTGTGTGAATTAAGCTATCTAAAACTACACATTCTCCTCCTAAAGATGAACATTTAGTATTTTTTCTAATAAAATCAGGTTGGCGTTGAAACATATTGAGTTATAATCTATAATATCCTTCCTCTACATAATCCTAGTGTCAACAGCCTGGCTGGAAGAGTCAACAAACTATCAGATGACCTGGTGGACACGCTATTAGCTAGGACAGTGTTGGTCAGTATCCACTGGCTTGACCAGACCTGGTATGTGTACCCTACAGGGGAATTTGAGCTGTGGTAGAGGTCAACAACAGAATGACCAGTGTTTCCTGACCTAGCACTCACTCGCCCACACCCAGGCATCCAGGCATGTGTGGTAGTGTTTGTATGTGTATAGCTAGTTATAAGTATATACGGCTCTTCCTTGTTATAATTCCAAGCATCTCTCTATTATTACAAATAGCTCACACTAAGGCATGTACAATATGTGTGTAGGAGATATCAGCATTTGTATTGTGTCATAAAATGCCCACATTTCTACCTTGTTATTGATAAAGCATCTCTATCAAAACCGGGTCTTGTTACCATTCTCAACTAAAGAGATGTTAACCATTACTAACAGTTTGCTATACAGACATACATGTAGTACATTTAGTTGAAGGTTTCTAGAGTTTTGAAGATTCCTAAAACAATGCTTTTCTATAAATTTTGGAATTCTGAGAATAAGAGGTAATTGTATACTATATACTTCAGCATTACCGTTCAGTGTTATATCAAGAATTCAACATCAGTTTCACGTCCCTGAACATATAGTTATGGTGGTGTTGTGTTCTTACCTAATCTAAATTAATTAACACACTTCCACAACAAACCATTATTTGGAAACCTTCAAAATTTTACCAAAACACATGTTTTGATGTTTACATACCCAACAATAGAAGAGAAAGTTCAATATATTCATTTATTTTAAACGAACCCTTAATATTGACAAAGGTGACGAAGAGGCTATATGATTTAAACCTTTCCTCGCCTCCTAAGACAACTACTGTTCGTGAATCTGCCTGGTAGTATTGTGTGGAGCGGTGGCGGTGAAGCCTGGTGCTGATGTAGCCTACTCCACATAGACATGGCTGTACATGGTTGTAGGTATACCGTGCTATTGATTTTTACACACAGTTCCTGCACATCTTATTACAGCTGACCTCACCGTTCAATCGAATGAGCTTCCCAGGCAGTTCTAGTTTATTTTAAACAAAATTTTGGATATCGAACGTTTCCTTGAAATTTCGTGTTACTTTTGCGTTGTGTCTGCTATTTAATTTGGTGCATTTTCGCTTTTTCACTGGCTCATTTAAATCGGAATCAGTCAAACAATTCCTCGATTAAGACCAAGCGAAAGCTGAACGATGTACATGTTCACAAAATATACTATATCCCTATAAAATCTCACAACTGCTGGTTTGTTTTTGATTGTATTGATATGACCATATTAAAATTATGACGAGATATTTAGATGTTGAATACTTTGTCTAGTTATTTGATTTAAATACATAGATACATAATTTTAAGCAACATATCTACGGCAAGGAAAGCTGCAGTATTGCTGTCTAACCAGTAACCATGTTTGAACTTCATTTTGTTATTATGAAATAATTTAACATTATTTTAAGTTTTTAACAATAACATTTAATAAATATTCAATCATTTTTTATAATGGGTATTTCTTAAGAATAGACACAAGCAAAAGCTTAAATTGATTAGCGATTGGAAAACAGAAAATGTTTGTAAATAAAAGTTTAGAATAAAGGCATTTAAGCAATTTGATTAAAATGTCCATTTTTTTTTTCAATTAAAAATAAAACATGTTCATGTGAATAATACCTGTAGGTCAAAATGAAATACATGATTTACAATGAAAAATAAGCATTATGATGAGCAGATGGGATATATAAAGTTTAACATTTAAATTGTTTTTCGATAGTTTACACTTAAATATTTGAAAACTATCCACAATTATCATATATATATGAAATTTCTCTTCATGTAAGTCAATTTGCGAGGGTGGTATAAGCACACAATCGTTTGAAAGGGAAAGTGTTTACAGTATAAATATGAAGCACTGGCCATCTTTATAAACACAGTTAACCCCTGGTCACCTGACCTAGCTGCTAAGCCCTGGAACCAATGGTCAAGTATTATGTAACAGGCTGCCTAGCCACTCCACTGTCACACAACACAACTGGCCAGTGGCTTAGTACACACACAGGGCCCATTGTGTAGAGGTATACAAGATCTATGTACTGATTATCAGTATTGAGGATTTCTACCACATGGCAGCATGAGTGGGGCCCCCAACAGGGTAACCCACCTAGTATATCTTGATAACCTTATACTCAATTTTGATAGGAATTACCCTTGTTATGCCCTTAGACTAAAATTGATAAGCACCTATATAAAGCTATCACTTTTTAAAATATTTTCAGAAGCAAGTTTAATGTGACAACTTTTCATTGAGATTTCATGAAAATAAAAGATTTGTTAAATATTTTGGAATAAACAGTTAGTTATATATAATAACGCTTGTGCAAGGTGAAGCCCTAGCTACATTAAAATTTTTGGCATAGCTACAGTTCCTATTTTCTCCGAAATCGTAACATATTTATTATTTAATTGTGTATGAATTTATACTAAAACGACATGGAAAATGGTTTTCATACAGAGTTTTAATACTAGTTATATATATAAATATTATATATATAAATATATGCCAATTTTGCTCTATTGAATGAAAAAAATCACTACTATGAAATGCAAGTCTAACATTCATAAGGCCTTTCGGTTCTATCACGGAGTTCATAACCCCAAACAAACATCCATGGCAACTTGTGTCAGAGGTCTACTTGCCATACAAACTGTCGTAGATTGAAATTAATACAGTTAAAAAATTGTAAACAACATATAAAATATCCCTTCTACTTTTGAAATGTGCGTGGCAAGTGCTGAATAATATTCACCCAAGATCATGATAGAACTTACTGCACTATCTGTATTTAATTTTTAAAACAAATTTATTGCCACAAAATATGGAATTTTTCATGATTAGAAAACGGAGCATGACAACATAATTCAAAACCAGTGAGGTAGTAGTCAGAAAAATGTATTAAGGGGAGGTAATTTGTTATAATTTTTCTCTCTTCCAAAATATTCCACAATAAAAAATTGAGTTCTCTGGCATAGCGAGTGTTGTCAAGTTATTCAATGCTAGGCATTACACAGTATTGAGAAAAAAAGTGAAAAATAAGAGTAAGGGAAATGTGTAAAATATATAACAGTTTCTGGAAAACTCAACATAAACTGAAAATATTTTTCTTCCGAATATTAATCCAATAAATAATCTCCAGTTTCTGTTATCAATAGCTATACAAAACACACAGAATCAATGGCATGTGACAAGAGTACTAGTAATACTACAATCTACTAACTTTATCCCTGAGCTTAATGTTTGCCTTTGGCAGTACAAAACCTGAGTTAGCAAATAATGAAACGGTACACCTGAGCAGCAATGCAAAAAGCATACCCTTAAAGAGTAAAAGCTAGCTCCACGACACAGTACAATGTACCACTTTAGTTTTTTGTATTTCTTAAAATACCTGTAAGCGATTGTTTCCAAAGTCCACCACAATAATGTAGCCTTCTGGGGAGACGCACAAACCAGAGGGACGATCAAGTTGCCCCGAGCCTGCTCCAGGGGTTCCAAATTTACATAGGAAATTGCCATTTGGTTGAAACACCTGAATGCGATGATTCCTAGAATCGGCTACAATGATGTTCCCTTCTTGGTCCACAACCACGCCTTGTGGTCGCAGAAATTGACCATTTGCACTGCCCTCAGTTCCTAAAAACCGAGCCGTTTGGAAGTCTGGGTGGATTACCAAAAGTCGGTGGTTGTTGAAATCAGTAACCACCATGTGACCCTCGTTGTTGAAACACACACCACGTGGTGAATCAAAATGCTTCCAAAGCGATCCTTCAAACCCGTATTTGTTCACGAACTGTCCATCTGGTGCGAAAAGTTGAACTCGATGATTCCTGGTGTCAGACACCAGAATCTTGCCTTCACTATTGACGGCTACATCCCAAGGGTAATTGAACTGGCCATTCTTATTCCCTTTTTCACCAAACTTCAACAGAAATGTCCCGTCGATTGTGAAAATCTGCACTCTATGGTTGTCTTTGTCTGCAACGATTATCCGCCCTTGATTATCACATGCGACTCCTGCTGGGCGATCAAACTGTCCGTTTCGTGTTCCAGAGGTTCCAAACCTGTGACGAAATGTGCCATCAGCGTTGAATACTTGGATACGGTTGTTGCTTCGGTCTGCTATAACAACATTTCCGTCACGGTCACAACAAACCCCCCAAGGTCGACACAGCTTTCCTTCTACCTCTCCCTCCCCTCCAAACTGAAACAACATTGGTCCGATTGTTGCGTAGTTACGCCCACTGCGTATATTGACGGTGAATGGGCTCTCTGCTATATGTTTGCCATATATTGTCACTGATATGATATGCTGTCCCTCTAATTGTGGACGATATGTGACTGCATAAGTGCCATTTTGTCGATCTATGACTTCTGCTCGGTAGAAAGCGCCCTCTGAATTATGAATGATGCATTCCACTGGATCCCCACCGATTACGCGAGGCTCCCCATGATGATCTTTAGTGTGGATCATGAAAAGTGACATTTTTCCTTTTAAAGCTTTCTTGAGCCCGTCACCAGTAGCGATGCAATTTGGTGCATATGCACTACTACTGATGATACCCATCTTGCCGATAGCGTTATACAGAGCCAAATCTGGAGGTGTAAACATGATACAATCATCTTCATGTGGTTGTAAGTGTCCACGCAATTTTCTAACATTTTGCATTTCTGCAACCATTTGGTCTTTGGTTTTGAGTATATCAATCTGTGTACCCGTATTAAGAAGTTTTTCAACTTCGTTGACTGTTTGCATAAGTGAAGAAAGTCCCTGTTTAAGATCATCAACTTGTAAATGAAGTGATTTTCCTTTGACCTGACGAATTTTTTCTACACGTCGCAATAAATCACGTTCTCTCTCCTCCAGCGCTGCCATGTGTCTGCGAATGATAGTTCTCACTTCCGTCGTTACTGCCTGAGTTCTAACTTCCACACGCTCAGCCATTCCCTGAGTGAGCTCAATACTTTCCTCAAGAGCTTTGATCCCTGCTTTGGCATCTGCGAGAAGTTTCAATGTTATAGTTTTGGAATTATCAATTGCATCTTGAAGATATATGAAATTATGTCCAACATGCTCATTCATGGTACAATCACCACATATTGCCCTTGAACAGGTATCACAGTATAAACGTAATAGTCCGTGCTCGTGCCGTGTACAGTAACTGTCTTGACATTCAGGGAGAGCTACCGCTTGTTGCTGATGTTGTTTTTGTTGTTGTTGATATTCCTGTTGCTGTTGTTGTTGCATTGATGGTGAGCTCAGTCGAGGTTGACATGTTGTTCCTAGATGTAAAATGCTGCTTGATTGTAGATTTAACATAGAAAATCGTTCAATGAAGTGATCTTTAGTGAGCCTAACTCTTTGATGTGCCCGTACACAGTTATCACATAGGTACTCACTGCAGTTCTTACATACACACGTAGCTTTGCTTCCCTCGTCACACGAGTTACACCACTTCGCACCTGTTATGGGTCGTTGTCGTTCCAAATCTACAGATGAGTCTTCTATATCATGTTGTGTTGATACCATAACATCAAAAATGTTCGACACGAATAAGTTGGAAGGCAAGCTTTCGATCCCCCCAGAGTTCAGGGGGACGGCTTGGTGACAAGTTGGACATTCTAGGGGTCCCGAAAACTCCTGTCCTGGCTGAGACGGGGAGGGACCCTGGTCCCGTGTAACCTGTTCAAGGCATCGCTTGCAGAAGGAATGGAGACATGGCAAAATTCGAGGATCGTCAAATCGGTTGTGGCAGAGAGGGCAACCCAACTGCTCCCCAATCGAGTCGGCATATGCGGCCATCGGCGAGGTAGAGCATGAGGTAGATTGGTTAAATCGAACATAAAAAGTTGATCCTTACATTGCGTGTCTCTAGCGTACGTAACCGAGAGTATCAGCGCACCATTCGAAAGGGATCGAGGTTGGTAACCTGCCAACCACGGAGCTCTCCGGCTAAGAGTAGGTCATAGTCAACTTCTGTTGTCTCTACACAGTTTTGGGAGGTCAGTGTGAATGAAAGTCATATAAAATGTTGTAAACTTACGTATCAATCACGACTTGGGTGTGTAATTCGAAGCACAGACGCACCTCGTCTCAAAACGAGCAATGTTGTCCTCGTTTCCTCTGTACGGCGCCATCTTCCAATATCATAAGTAGGCGTTCCTAACCTACTTTGCCACGCTGTCATTCATTTCCATTGGCCAATCAAAACACACGACACACCTGTTATCATTTTCATTCATGTGGTCACTTCCGAAATTACATAATGACCCGCACAGTTAGTGCTACTCACAAAAGTATACTCCTTGGTCAGATCTATGGTGCTTTTTTAATCTGCTTTTCTTTTAAATGCAACCCATAGACCATACTATTAATATTCGAAGTTTGTGAAATCCATGCAACGTAAGGCAAAATTTTCCGTACATCACAAATTAGGGGCGGGGGTCTGTCGGGCATGTGTTATGTAATAGGAATGCTGTCCATTACTGGACCCGTGTCCATGGTTCGGGGCTGACCAAGTTCTGCGTGAGTAGTTTCGATAGCTGGACATAGCTTGGGGCACTCCACTGTCCACTCTTTGTCTATGCACAGCGTGTGAACACTCGTAAAACCAATGGTTTCGAGTCCTAAACGAGGTCATGACAAGAATAACGGCCTTAGTCCTAAATATGACACTTAATCAGATCGTCATTGCAGATCATATCCATACGATAATAGAGAACGTATTGTCTTCATTTAAGTACTGATGCACCGATCGGAGAATGATATCTGACGGGAAGATATTTAATTAAATGTACTAATTATGCCGAAATGCGTTAAAAAATTAAACCCCCGGTCCTGGTACTGAAGTTCCCATTTTTGATTTTGAAATTTATTTTGGTCAGTTTTAATTTAATGCACATGTAAACCCAATTACAAACAAAAACTAATTGCAATGTATATCAAAATATCTATGCCGGCATATATGATTAATTAAGTCGTCTGTCGGATAACAAAATCGTCCCATGTTCGGATTGCTGAATTAAATCGTGCTAATCTTAAAACGTTGTTATTGACTTTAAATCTCTGCTGAAAAAAGCTGAAACTGAAATTGAAAGTTTTCACGATACATGTAATTTGATTTTCTTTTAAGAAATCGGGGCTTAATTACAACACGGGAGCTTTTACATTACTATAAAGGATATATACTGTACTGTCCAAGAATATTTCCAAACAGAATGCAACTTAAAGAAGTAGTATCACATGTAAGCAGTTATCGCTGTTTGAATCATAAAGGCAATTAAATGTGTCTCTGTTGAAAATTAATTACAGGTTAAAAAAAATGTACGGCAAGACATGTTATATATTCTCGTCTCCACGAACGATAAATTCAATCTTGGGCACTCTGGCTTCGTGTTTTAATGTCGATGTATTAATGCACTGTAAAACATGTACTTCGTGACATGACAAAAGAAAGCACCCCATTCAAAATGTATATCTACGACTAGTTCATTCCCCTGGGGAGTGATCCGGTTTGGAAATAGAAAAAACTTTACCATTTTTTTGTCCATTACGTTTTTCTAGTAACGAAAGAAATGCTGTTTTTGTTTTATCTACATAAATAGAAATGGTATGATGATGTCACAATGTGAGGAGGCTATATGTATTATATGGTTGGTAAATATACACAATATACTTGTACAATATTAATTAAAACATGTGTATACAAATACACGCATACCTCACAGTTGAAACAATAACACAGGCAATTAATTACACGTGATCACGTTAGTTTTAGAAAGGTCGTTAGGTCAATTACACATGGCTAATTAAAAAAAAAATAACTTCTGAATTATGTCAGAAGTTTTTACTTGTGGTGTAGAAGATACACAGTAAGTCATATTGGATAACATCACGGCTGTCAATCAGTCATTTCAATTCGAATGCTATCTTATTTAGTTTGTTTTTACGTACGTGGCCAATCGTTACAAAGTACTATATGATAGGGTAAATACAATGAATCAACTACTTGAATCGCCTTCTATTACATTAAAAAATATTCTGGGTTCATATGATTTTTAAATAAATCAGTTTTATTTTAAAGTGCATGACGGCACCAGTAACGATCTAACAGGGTTGTCTAAGATTGTGTAACGGATCTATATAATTTAATACCGATAGGAATAAATCAAATATCGTTAAACCACGGACTTAGATTCTAATTCCGTGGTTAAACCAATTACTGTTTTTGAGTGGACATTACTATTGTGTAATACTGTTTCAAATTTTAAGATGTGTAATCAGCTGAAGTTGATTGAATTCGATTATCAACATAATTTACTGTTAATACATCTATTTTGATGACTCGGCAATTACGTAGTTTGCTTTTTTTAATCACGTAGATTGTTACAAAAAAGTCTCTGATCTTATCTGATCTGATAATAGTTTATTATTATTATCTTTCGACTGACATTTCTACAGACATACTTGTTATCGGTGTGAACACTTTGAATGAAAGGAAGAAAATGATAGTGAAGTTCTAATTACTGTCAGATGGAGAATGTAGATGGACCTTGATGGCTGGAATAATTTCAAAAGCTTGGATTGGGACTTTTAGATATATGTGGACGAAATACAGCACATAAGTCTAATGTAAGTAGTAACGTTCGTTATCATATGGATAAGCACACGTTACCGTAAATAAGGTTACGTCATACGAATGACGTCATCATGTTAATATTACGTATAATGCATGTACATGTAATATACATGTAAATGTATGCATCTAATCACCGCACCAGGGATGCAGATGGTATAACCTTATATATAGAGACATACACAGGGACATAATGCTTACATTACAAATGTAGTGAGCATTTTATCCAGCTGCCGAGAATGTGGTCTAATGGAGGTCCCCTGGTACCAATTCCTGTGTAAGTGACCTACTTTTGTGTACCGTTACGTGTACTCAAGGACATGCTTGTATATAACCCCTTGTCGAGACAATGGTTGGCTCAGCGGCTCAATCGATACAGTAAGACCACACATTCGTACCATAGATACAGCGTTATCAGGCCAGGGGTCTCGCATCTCTAAATTCTCCACCTCAGCTGACTACCGTCACATCGTTTAACACATTAGAAGGGTTACGCGAGGTTGTCACGAGCGGTACCGTCAGATAGCCGACGTTCCATTTGCTGACATCACGTCGTATATGTACTGGTATCAATGATGACAGGGAGAACCAGAAGGAAGACACCGGAACTAGTTGTAATGATAACGTCAACTCTGAAAACAACCCATGAAATTGTGACAATGACAATAATTTACAACTCAATATGTCATTCACTAATAATTTTCGAGTTAAAAAAAAGGGGTGAAAAAAACTGGCAAATATCTTAATTGTCACGAGGAAATTTAGTCAAATGTCAGTCGTATACAGGTTGATAAATTATTAAAGCAATTTGATTTACAATGAAGTATAACCCAATGTTGACAATGAAAACAAACATAATATTATGTTGACAATGAAAACAAACCCATTATTATGTTGACAATGAAAACAAACCCATTATTATGTTCACAATGAAAACAAACCCTTTATTATGTTGACAATGAAAACAAACCCAACATTATGTTGACAATGAAAACAAACCCATTATTATGTTGACAATGAAAACAAATTCTTTATTATGTTGACAGTGAAAACAAATGTAATCTTATGCTACCAATGAAAACAAACCCTTTATTATGTTGACAATGAAAATAAACCAAATATTATGTTGACTATGAAAACAAACCCATTATTATGTTGACAATGAAAACAAATTCTTTATTATGTTGACAGTGAAAACAAATGTAATCTTATGCTACCAATGAAAACAAACCCTTTATTATGTTGACAATGAAAACAAACTTAATATTATGTTGACAATGAAAACAAACCTAATATCATGTTGACAATGAAAACAAACCTAATATTATGTTGACAATGAAAACAAACCCATTTTTATGTTGACAATGAAAAAAAAAAACAATTTTATGTTGACAATGAAAACAAACCTTATATAATGTTGACAATGAAAACAAACCTTATATTATGTTGACAATGAAAATAAACCCAATATTATGTTGACAATGAAAAAAACCCTATTATTATGTTGACTATGAAAACAAACACAATATTATGTTGACAATGAAAACAAACTCAATTTTATGTTGACAATGAAAACAAATCTAATATTATGTTGACTATGAAAACAAACCCAACATTATGTTGACAATGAAAACAAACCCACTTTTATGTTGACAATAAAAACAAACCAAATTTTATGCTGACAATGAAAACAAACCCATTATTATGTTTACAATGAAAACAAACTCAATTTTATGTTGACAATAAAAACAAACGTAATATTATGTTGACAATGAAAACAAACCCATTATTATGTCGACAATGAAAACAAACCTTATATTATGTTGACAATGAAAAACAAACCCATGATTATGTTGACAATGAAAACAAACCTTATATTATGTTGACAATGAAAATAAACCCAATATTATGTTGACAATGAAAAGAAACCTTTTATTATGTTGACTATGAAAACAAACACAATATTATGTTGACTATGAAAACAAACCCAACATTATGTTGACAATGAAAACAAACCCAACATTATGTTGACAATGAAAACAAACCCAATGTTATGATGACAATGAAAACAAATCTAATATTATGTTGACTATGAAAACAAACCAAATGTTATGTTGACTATGAAAACAAACCCAATATGACGTTGGCAATGAAAACAAACCCAATATTATGTTGGCTATGAAAACAAACCCAATATTATATTGATGATGAAAACAAACCCATTATTAAATTGACTATGAAAACAAGCCCAATATTATGTTGGCAATGAAAACAAACCCAACCAATATTATGTTGGCAATGAAAACAAACCCAACCAATATTATGTTGACAATGAAATCAAACCCAATATCATGTTGGTAATGAAATCAAACCTAACAATACTTGGTCAATGAAACGTTAAACACAATGAAAAAGTGTTCACAACGAAAAAGTCTAACCCTATGATATATTGTCAATTAAACTAAACCCAATGATATTCTGACAATGAAATTAAACCAAAT